ATTAAGTGTTTCCGGCCTAATAGGGCTGTTGGGTAAAGCTGCTGAGTGCTGTAAAGCTCTTCGACGACCTGGATGGTTGATGGCCACCTGTGCGGATAGTGGGTTGTGACCACCTGGTTGGACTTGTTTGGGTCTTGTGTGCTGGGTTTTGTGGGGTTTGTTTGGTTTCTTTGGTTTGGCAATGGGCATGGCAGGCAGGGGCAAGGCACCATGGGTAGGAGATAGGCTCCACTGACTATTTAGGTCTGTCACCACCTCTATGTATTTTCTACGTTTATGAGTTTGTTTTTGGGGGACAGGCAGCAGGTACAGGTCCTCCTCACCATTACGCTCTTCGGAGGTACTTGGCAAAGTGGGTTCATAGGGTCGATGGCCTGGCATGCGGATGCGAGAGGTGGACATGTTTGTCACCTCCTCTCTGCCATTGTATCGCCTGTAGGTTATGTGTGTTTGTTTGTTGGTTTTCTATTGTGGTGGGGGTTTCGTGGGATGGTATTCAGACCGAATGGTAGTGGTTTTTAATTTTTTGGACGAGGAACCTGGTCAGGTCGGTCTTTTGCTCGGCTTCAGCTATGCTTAGTGCTGGTTGGCTTCATACCAGAGGGGCTACAGACTTGGATCAGGGTAGGCGCTTGGTTGTTTGATGGTCTTGTAATTAGTTCTCATGCGGGCATGACTCAGGGATGGCAGGTGCGGGGCCATAGACTTAGTTAGCTTATGATTAATGGTATACCGGTTAGTGGTATCCCTGTGCTGGTGGGGGCTCGTCGTATGCCAGTGTTGGCGGTACGAGTTTAAATAAAATTAGATTGAATTCTAAGTACTTTTCCTACTTATTACTTTAACAAATATAAAACACCTTTACAATCTTTATCTTTGTTGCAACGCTATCGTTACGTCAAGGAAAGTCCTTCACGAAGATGAGTTAGAGAAAGCTTATGATAGGCGTTCCCGATAAAAGACAAAGGTCTTGTACTATCGGTAACGTAGGTAGAGGCCTAGAGCTATCGTAAGATAAAGAAAGAAGAAGAGAGAAAAGAGAAGTATCGTTCCTTGTCGCTAAGAACTAACTGTCCAAAGGGGGATCGTTACATCCTGTTAGGACTGATGGCCTTGAAAACATGCTTGAAGTCTTCTGACTGGTATTTTGTACTGTCATGCAATTTCAGCAAAGTTTAAATACTTGTTACTACTGGTGTATAGAAAGACGACAGTGGCTTGAATTAAAATCTCAATATCAGTATATGGTTCAACCCACTGGCTTGGAAGAATAAACACTGGAGCTGGAGGCATGATTGATTGCTGTATGGATCAACTCTTTGTGAAGTGAAAGTATCTCTATTATTTCAAAACTACGAATATTTAAATTTATAAAGTTGTCTTGAGTTGCAAAGTGCCATTGAGCTACAAAGTGCTATTGAGTTACAAAGGGCCATTGAGCCACAAAGTGCCATTGAGCCACAAAGTACTGTTGAGCCACAGAGTTACCACGGGGAGCCATAAAGTGCCGTTGAGCCATAAAGTACCGTTGAGATGTCAGGCACGAGTAGGTCGATAGAGGGGAAGCAATCCTAAAAAATTTATATGAGGATTTGGTCTTTGGTGCTGGTGATGGATTTAAGTTGACTACGCAAGATTAGACCTCGTCTGGTGTGGTGAGCAGGTACGATACCGGGGCGGAGGGAAAAATACATATAGGGGTGCCTACTTTTGGCAGGTCGGGAGGATTCTTGGCTGCCGTACTATGCTTGTAGTATATCTTGTTGTTCCGGGGTCAAATTTTTTTTGGGGGGGGTTATTATCGATTTAGCGGATCTTATACGGAGTTTTTGATCTTGTTTTTCTCGGAAAGAGTCTTATCGTGTATTAATACCACCGCTTCGTGCGGTATTCTAATTAGACCTTTTTTGAACCAAGTCATTTCAAATTTCCCACTACCGTATTCAATCCCTCCAAGCAGTATCCCCTCACAAACCGCCCTTCCACTCGAAAATCTATCCCCCACGGGGTTCTCCACTTTTTCTTGGTATACATGCAGCGGGCAAGCAGAGCCCTTAAGAAGAAATTACTAGAATACGTGGAAAAGGAAATCCGTGCATAACAGAGTCTCCATATGTACAAATTTATCACCCCTTCCCTCGAATATCGGTAGCAACCCAAACGCCTCGGACCCGGCTCCGGAAAAGCCTCCACCCCAAGTGAAAATGCACCCTCTCCCGCAGCACCACACTTTCTTTCACACCCGGTGACCGCCCATCCCGGTCATGGGGCGCCTAGAGGAACTTCATCAAGCCCGACGCTGAGTTGTACATTTTTACACCACCTAAGCGCCACAAACACACTCGAATACCGGTATGATAGGAGAAAGAGTATTGATAGGGCTTTCCAAGTGGTAGTAGAGCGCTGGGTTTTTTCTTCTTTCTCTCTTGTAGTGAGGACCGTCCCACACTGGGAGGGTTTCGGCGACCTCCGCTGGATGGCGCACCGGTGCTTGTCTTATGTTTGGGCATGCAACGTACAGTACCTGTGGTATGTTAATCATATGGCGCCGCGCTCGGTGGGCGTGAGGCGATGCTTCACGAGGGGTATGGAGGTGGAGAGCAGTGGAAGTGGTGGGTGTGGGCTGTAAACAGCCCGAGATGGGGCCCGGTGTCGTCATGGAGTATCACTCGGTATGCGGGTGATGGACTGGATTATGAGGGTGGTATGATAGTATCATAAGGTTACTGCACACCGCACACTGAGCTCATGCTCTCGCTCTCCGGGATTTCTTTTCCACCCACTTAGCCTCCCTGCTAGCCGTGTCCACGTTTTCTCTTTAGGCGGAAGAATGGCATCTTCTTTTCTTCTCCTTCTAAATTTTATAGCATTAGCGTCCCGAATGGGACAATCTGATGGATATAACAATTCGCAATTCAGCGTATGTACAGTACTGTACGGGCCTCCCAATCGATTCCTTTGTGTGTTCATTTATCCTCTCTAATCAGGGGTTCGATTTTCGTCAAAAAAAAAAATCTCGTTTTTTATATACAATGGTGGCCCGTCAAAAAGTGCTACTCTTAGAGTCTGAGTGAATCCCCTTCGTCGAGTAATGCTTAACGTAAAACAACCGTAGTCAGGTTATCACCATACATGTTCCTCACGGCTCCACCCGATCCCTAACCAGAAAAAGAAGAGAGCTCGTGGGAGCGCTGTTGGTTAAGCATTATCACCGTTACCCTATCTCTGCGCTGAAAAAGGATCCCAAAAACAGAGCCACAAAGCCCCAGCCCCCGAAATACTTCTTCTCCCTGTTCCGCGCGGTACAGAATCCCACACTGTGGTACTAAATTATCATACCGACAACTCCATCCACCCATCCATCCATCCATAATAGGAGTCTTTTGAATCCTTATAAAATTCCCTGGATAATATTATAATCCAGTCCAGCGTTACACAGACCCACCTACACACCTCAATGAAAAATGCATGCTGCCCGGGCGACGACTGGGCAGGTATTGGAAGCTAATATCAACAATGGGGCCAAAAGGTAAAGCGGTATCCGGGGAATGTGTTAACGAGCACAATGCCAGCTCCATTCACCCTCCACAGTACATAGCCGCAGTGGGGCTGACTGATAGCTCTTGGTCAGGATGAACTCGGGCGATGGTGGCTGCCGGCGGGGACCGATTCATCAACAGTGGCTGTGGGGAGGGATGGTTTCATCGGCATCCCGATCGATGATTGGGGGGGGAGGGTCAATCACGGAATTCCGTCGCGAGACGGGTATCCCTACAGCGCAGTAGGAGTGCGAAATAATTGTCACGGTATCATATGATGGACAATATACGGTGACTGCAGTGGTCAGGCACTAACAGAGACATGTTGGCGATGATGATCTGCCGGGCGGGCGAGGGGGTCAACAAGATGGTCAGACCAAACGGCCAAGCTCCGCGTGCCTCCGCCCGGGACGTGCCCTGGGATTTCACCCTCCGTTGCCGCACCGCCACCTGAACCGCAAGTCCATCTATCAGAGCCTCGCACGGCGAGCACTGTTTAGTGTTGGACGGAAGTGTTTCTTGGCTGCTCACCGCATGTTTCCCCTATGGCAACGACTTCACAACCCTAACCCTCTTGGTATCAACTACTCCGACGCCTCTATGTTTGACTACTGGTTAGTCCTACACATCAAACGCCATATGTGACAACATCTGCGACGATACCTGCGACGACTCCATGTTAGGAGGCTACCCCTATCATATGGAAATACCGACTATCCTCGGTCAGAACATACCCTCGGTCAAGTTCACTTACCCTCGGCCGAAGCGGCACAAATGGGCGATAGTGAGACTGAACGTGATGGAGAACACGGCATACGCTGGAAGTATGTGGAAGCAGATTAGTATGATCTAGGGAAGGATAAAAGGCAGCTTGTTTTTCCTTGATAGTTGTTTTCGTTCGTTATCCAATCTGTCTCTCTTTCCTCCGTTACTCGCATTTGGGTCATATCAGTCTTTCCCGTTTCTTATTACCTATTGTTGTTCTTTGCGAGAATACTTCTCCAGTTCGGATATTGAAATTTATCTTTACATCTTTGCCCTGCTTAAGTCAACATTGTCCAAATCGCTGCCGTAATCCTTTGTTGTTTAAAATTTAGTCACCCCCGACTGGAACCTTCCAAGGGGCCAACTTTCCACCCTATCTACCTACCATATCGGGGCGATGCCCATTCTTGCAATCTTCAATAGCTGTGTTTGGTGCCGGGTATCATATGATCTGGCCAACTGGAGTTTGGAAAGTTTGTTCGAAACACCTCCAGGAGGGTATTCAGCATCTGCTTATCCGTAATTGAATAGGTTTTATAGTATCTAAAAGGGGGTGATGTTGGATTACTGATTGAAAATTTTGGATAAATTTAGTCTTAAAAGCATAATACTGTATCAGCTAACTTCAAATCGCCCCACTAGCTACACCGATCCTAACTTCTAACAGAGATACCGCTACAATGACGCCGCCTCCATTTACTTCCTACAAATACTTTCTGCATCCCAATTCTCACTTCCAATACAAGGCTTGCACATGAACAACTCTTCCTTATCCCACCTAGCCTTAATCCTAAGCAACTTGTCATAGTTTTCTCCCCAGAAAACCTTCTGCCAGTGCCTCTCATTCAGGTCCGCTTCATTGATATAAGCACCCATATCAGGTTCTAGCGCAGCGAGGACAGGTGCCTCGACATCCGTCATGTTCCGTGCTATAATGGCCTGCTCCTGGAAAGAAGTGCTAGTTTCCCACCCTCGCGCAAACACAAGATGGACGAGAGCCTTTCGCCAGGACGGGTTAAGAGCCGAATCGATGGTACCCTTGTTCCTGGCGACTTGGCCACCCGCAACGACATGCCCAATGAATACTGTATTCTGGTTTGGCCCGATGGTCTTGAAGACTTCGGATAACCTCCCTGGCCCATCGGCGGACTCGAGAAATTTACGAGAGATAAGGCGGGAGGATAACAGGGATAAGCCACCGGTCACGTCGGTACCATTTAGAATCGTGTCTATCCCAACACTGGCGGGAAACGGGGGAAGCTGGCTCCATTGTACCTGTGAATTGGTGTACTCACGCGCTTTCTGGACGAGCGGCGCAAAGAGGGCTTCGGTGGCGTTGGGGTTAGATTGACCGGCGAAGAACCCGCCAATTATAATGCTGTTTGTCTCGTGGAATATATAGTAGTATCCTGATCCACCCGCATCGCTGAACTTGGGGAGGAAAGCATGGAAGTCTGCTGTGAACGAGTAGAATTGATTCCTGTCTGGGATTGTTGCGTTCAAACTTGCAGCTAGCATGATGGTATCGGGGAAGGTGCGAATGGTAACGGACGTTACCACCCCGAATGTGCCACCACCACCGCCTCGAAGAGCCCAGAAGAGATCCGAATTTTGGCACTCATTAGCGGTTACATGTTTGCCCTAGCGGAGTAGACGGTTAATTGTTTATACGGGTAATCTGGTGAGGTATTTGTGCGAGAAGCTTACATCTGCAGTAACAACGGTGAACTGATAAGCGTTATCAGACGCCATCCCCTTCCACGGTCCCAAAGGCGAATGTCCACCCCCTTGAATGAAACCTCCGGCGGCACCGACCGTATTAGCAAGCCCGACCACCGCAGTTTTCCCCTTAGCCGCCAATGCCGAATATAATGGCTTCAGCTGTACTCCGGCGCCAATAGTAACCGCCTCTTCGCCCTTCTTCCACTTGCAACTTTCCGGCGTAAAATTTCCCGAGAACTCGATATTGTTCATGTTGTGTGTCCAGATTTGCAATGACCCCCTACCCGCTGATCGCCCAAGATAATCATGCCCGGAGTTTTTGATGACAAGTCGAAGGTTCTTTTCGCGAGCAAAGTCGACAGCCTTTTGAATCTGTGCTGGGGAGGTTGCTGCAACGGCATATACCGGTACATTTCCTTGGCCGCATGGAGAAGATCTGGGAGTATCGATGTAGCAGGTCTCATTTTTAACAGCTGAGGTCTCAAAATTTATTTGTTGATATCCACCTTCGCAAGGGAGGAAAATTGTTAGCGCAGACCGGGTTTGTAGAGGATTCAAGGGGTGCTTACCCGGGAAGCTTCCCCTCCAAACTGATAGCTTATAGTTGGTTTTGGCATTCTCGCAAGCTGCTTGATCAAATGCCGGATCATGACAGGGTGACGCAACGGGTTTGACAGCAATCAGAGATCCAGAAACCGACGCGTTAAAAGAGGCCCATTCAGATGGTTTAGGCCAGCAAGGATCGGTCGGAAGACATCGGCATTGAGAGTAGTGTTGGCTCTCCGAGTCAGAATCGTCAGTTGTGAGGCCAAGCGGAAAAAAGAGGATGGCCGAGAGGGCAATTGAAAGGATAGGAAACTTCATCACGAGAATGAATATTATCGACTGGGCTATTTTTTGAGGTTAGCCCGAATTGAACGACATCCAGGAGATCGGAGTCGTGCTCTTATATATTTCACGAAACCAACCATCTAACCATGAGGCCAAGGGAAAACCAGTTTCATCAAGTAGCCGGCCAATGCCTATCAAGTTTCTCACTCACTCACTCACTCACTCACTCACTCACTCACTCGCCCACTCGCCCACCCACTATAGACCAAAAGGCATCCATATCCGCACTGTCCTTCCACCGTCTGAGCCATTATGATCGCCTTGGTGACGTTCGAATGGCAACGATTTTGCGGTTGCTGTTACACACTCTCGACAGGGCGCAGCCTCGCCCGAGGTGCAGATCCCTGTACTGTACAGTACTGCACTTGCATCCTTCTTTCCACAAAATCCGCTTATGAGGTTTGCGGCTCCCTGAATACGAGGTTCTGGGGAATCAGGGTAACCGGGAAACCACAGGATATCGTACCAACACGCGTTCTCGGCGGCCGACCTCCGTTGCGGAGGTCAGGCCGATTTTCCATTATATCGGTGGTGCTTGAATGCGCCCAGGCGCAGTGGTTAGGCTCTTCCAGCACTTTACCGTGTTTTTCTCGTATATACTACTTGAGTTGATCTGTTGTCCGGTGGTGAATACGATAGTTGCAAGGCTTACTGTGCCGTTGAGTATGGTAGGGCATGGAATACAGTACGGTGCAATCATTGGTGAGATCCAGCGTGCTCCGCTGGCATCATTCGTAGTCTTTCACTAAAGATGGAACATGTATGATCGGTCTAAAAACCACTCACTCGGAATACTTTTTCGCCGGAATCGGGTCCTCTCAAGACCTTGAGTTATTATTATCGTTTCCTTAAAGGTGGTTTATTGTATGGGGAAGTGTAAGTCTAGGACAAAGATCACGGAATTTGGCTAGAATGTGCAAACAAGTAGGAGGTTGCTGGAAACGTGCCCCCAAACAAAACACCAGTTACCAATGTGTTAATACACACTGTCCGGCAACAATGAACTAGGAAAATTTGGATAATTCAACCTAGAGATTCATATGGATAAATGCCAGATCACTGGAATTGTTCCACAAGATCTAAAGGTCACTTTCAATAAAAATTAATAAATTTATAACTCTAAACTTCCTATGGATGCACCTCACATAATCAGGGCTTGGAGAGCGGGGATTACTTGTGGTTGCTCCCGGTAGCCAATTGAAATCGTCATTTTATATGGAAAACCTGCTTAGGGGAGGGGCACACTTCTTTCTCGGCTTTTGATGCCGAGATCGTATTCAAATACCAGTATATTTTAGAGAGCGATCAGGTAAACACCTCACAAATGCAGAATGAACCCTCCAATTGACTGTTGGCCTATGATACCAGTCAAGAGGCCCTAACGACCAAAAACTATTCCAAGACATCGATTTCTCCGCCCAAAATGTCCTGCGCAAGGCACTACAACTGCAGGCACCGCCAGTTCGGGAAACTAGCCCTGCCATTGTAGTCCCGATGCTCCCCATCCCTGAGTTCTTGCACCGATACTATAGCAGGTCCTGCTGACCCCATTTCATCCCGCGCCACAATTATTGTTGTTGTTTGGACTTTTATGGTCAGGAGTTTGGACTGGAATCAGTAAGGTATCTGGAAAGGCTCACACATGGGGCAATTCAGCCCCGGGGCTGGAAAGCGTTTCTTTTTGAGATGTTTTCGAGTCGGTGGACTCGATTAGCGAATATATCGCCTTCTTTTGCATTCAGATCTGATAGACCGCACTGAAAATCTGGTGCCCGAAAACCCCCCCCTTTTTCGACAGCGGAGCTGAGTGGCCTTTAAGGGTGCGTTTGGTTTGCCCGCCAGTTTTTTTTCAAACCTTCATATCGGCAAAATGTCAGTTGCTCGGGAAAGCGTGATAATGACAAGTTCATGGTTTGGGCCCAGGCTCAAGTCACAGTGTCGGTCGTGTCTGGCCGCCCAGAATATCGGTAGAGTGCTAAGACTTGTAGTTTTTTATGTGGGGGTGAGATACTGTGCTTGAGTATCATGCCCGTATATCGATGAACAGAAAAGTTGGGTGTAGGCGTCCCCGTTAAATGGGCTGAGAAGATAGATACGGCATGATTTTTTATACATATCGAATTGGAGGCTACCCTGAACTCCTATAAGGATTGGGATTCGGCAAAGTGAATGGATGAAAGGATTTTAGCTTGTGTGGGTTCGGGAAGGCGCGGCGTATGTGTTCGGGTATGGTTGATTTCAAGTTCTTCTTTCCTCCTTGCTCTTTCTCTGGCTCTGATACGAGGGTTAGGGGTCGTCGTTCACGGAGGGTGGGAAAATATTGGTCTGAGAAATTATTTCGGGAACCCTTTGTTCTGAGCTCACTACTGCAACTTGATTTTTTCGAGTCAACTAAGCATGCTGCTCGAGAGCGTAACTTCTGCCATTGCCATCACCATCACCCTGATTCACCCAATATCCTACCCAACTAAAGCATTTTACAATGTAACAGCCTTGGTCCCACTTCTAAACAGATTGCACAATAAGAATTATGAAATTGTGTTTGGTCTGGAAGAGATTGCTTGCAAGTGGCAGTAGAACTTTAGAATCTCAAATTAGTTTAATTCTTATATCTAGAGGGGAATGAAAATGTAAGCAGTAATGCAATATACTAACTGGTTCAGGTTTTCAACTTCTGTTATAGTGTTATATTTCCCTTCATAATATTTATTGTATACATGCCTCCTCCCCCCTCCTTCCAGTATAAGTTTAAACTCTATCTTTTTTTTCTCCTTTCTCTATAGACCTTTCTTGGCACTTCTGAGCCAGATCTATATAATGAGGTCTCTCCCTCCTCCTTCTCTTCTTCCTTCTTTTCTCATTACTCTATTCAACTCTCTTTTCCATATACATATACATACAACTTGATGTTAGTATCTTCCATCCATACTATGATTGCCAAGTATTACTACTTGAAAGCATGTCTACCTGAGTAGTTTATTAATTAATTTATTTCCTCTTTGTTTTACATTCTATCTACTACTCTATTTATTTATTTTTTCTCCTTTTTTTTTTTATGTTATATTAGTAGTTTTATACTAATATGTTTATTTACTGCAGTAACTATATGCCCAACTATGTGGGTACTCAATTTACTGTGGTGGGTGGGTGGGCAACCTGTCAATATATCGGAAAAATATGCAAGGATGGGTGGGCGGGCAACCTGCCATCATGCACCAGAGAAACCTTAAGAGAATAGGGATTTGAGTTTTTTTTTTTTGAATATTTGCTAATGTAAGTGAAAGCAGAATCTTCTAACATCAACAGGAGAATAATCTATTAGGATAGGTAAATGAGAAGAAAATTGACTAACTAAAACAGTTGTGGAATAGGGACCTGTGGGGGGGAAATTTAGGTAG